AGAGGATCTGGGAGGTCAGTCTATGATCAAAACAATTACAATGTGAAAGAAGGTAAACACAGAGGAACAGAGATCCAGGTGGTGAGAAGGTCAGGGAGATAAATGGAGGGAAGATTAATGGAATGTAGGTAACCACAACAGTGGGATTGGGGTGGGGGGTTTAGTTCGAGTGTTGCGGAGAGCAATAAAGAAGGGAGAGTAGGGAGTAGGTGAAAGAACAAGCTAGACAGGGGAACACTGAGACAGATTTGCATGGCCTAAGTGGGACAGAGGTAAATAGTGATGCATGCTCAATCTTGGAACAATACTAGGTATAGTCTGAAGAGGGGAAATTATACTAAGATGCTTGATTGTCTTATGAATATTGGTTTCCCTTGCCTACTACTGTACAAGACACTTGAGTGGGATAGAAAGGAATGCTGGGAAGCATGATTAGAGAAAACTTGTAAGCCCATCTTCAGTCTATAACTGATTGGAATACCTAGCCTCAATAGCTCGATAATCAGAACTTGACTAGAAAAGATTAAAAAAAAATTTTTTTTTTAAATAAAGGAAACAGGAGTAAATTGCTACAATCTGATGAACCTGACCTATACTCAGAGTGGTAGTAACTCTAAATACCAACAGACAGGGAAGGAGTCTTCACATCAAGTATCAATGCTATCCCCTCTGTACACAGGATAGATAGGGATGGGCAGCTTAGACATTGGCTACCTAAAATAAGGGGGCGATAAAGGCACGGAGTGACTGGCTTACAAGGTTTCAAGAGGGAGTTTAAGAGTGTGCGAAGAAGAGTCCCCACTGAATAGTTTTCATCTTGTCTAGATGGGTCTAGTGAAAAGAGATGGGGATAAGATTCGTATGATTCAATATTGAATAATTGTTATCATGACTAACTGTGACTGTCACAATTGTAAAGATAGAAGTTGTGTAATAAAAACAGGGGAGTGGTTCATCTTATAGTCCAGAAACAGAGGTCCCGAGGACCATCAAGGGAGAAGAGAACAAGCAGAATGTGGGACGTTATCCAGAGAAGCAGCAACACCTGAGACGGCGGCAGACATGGGGTCATGGAGGGGCTAGCGACTGAGGACTCTAGATTCATGGGAAGCACTGCCTCCTCGAAGGAGAGTTGACCATAATGGCGTAGATGGAGCAGAGCTTTCAGGACCTTCATTTGTCAATGGAGTGCAACTCAATATGAGAAGAAACAGCTGTGGGGACTAAGAGCTGGTGGCCAGGAGAGGAGGCCAACTTGCAGAATGTGCCCTGTAGAGGTATAAATTATATATGCCTGAGTATTTTGTTTTTTTATTAAAAAACGCTAGAATGAATAGAGAGAAATACTGTTCACTGATGGTACATGGAGGGGATTATAATCATTGTAATGATACAAGGTGTATGATTTGTTGAATGTAAAACTGATGATCTGCCCTGTAAACTTTCACTCAATCCCCAAAATAAACACCTAAAAAAAAAGAGAGAGAAAAAAAATTTGTTCCTGAGATGGTCTCTAAGTTCAGGTGGGATATTCTTAAGGGCATATTTTGGCTCTTGTAGACTTGGTTTTATTTTCAGCTCCAACCTAAACTTGCATACAAACAATTGATCATCTATTCCACTCTTGGCCCCTGGCCTTGTTTTGGCTGATATCGAGCTTTTCCAAAGAGTCCTGATGGAATAGTTTGTGACGCATTGGGCTGCTATCTACAAGGTCAGCAGTTCGAATCCACCAGCTGCTCCATGGAAGAAAGACGAGGCTTTCTGCTCCTATAAAGATTTACCTCCTTGGAAACCCTACAGGGTTGCTATGAGTTGGAATCAACTCTATGGTACACAATCATCACCACCCTTGAGCCTTTCCATTGACTCTTTCCACAGATGTAGTCAATTTGACTCCTGTGTGCTCCACCTGGTGAGGTCCACGAGTATAGTTGTCATTTAAATTGTTGTAAAAAGGTATCATTTCTATCACCAAGGCTGTATTTTCCAGCTACTGGTCTTTGTTCTTTGTTTCTAACGTTCACATTCCAATCACCAGTAATTATCAATGCATCTTGATTGAATGTTTGATCAATTTCAGACTTCTTATTGTTATTAAGTGCCTTCAAATCGGTTCGAACCCATAGCAGATCCTGTATAGGGTTTCCAAGGAGCTGCTGGTGAGCTAGAACCGCAGATCTTGTGGTTCAAAGTGGCTTTGCAGTCCAGCGCATTAACCCACCGCACCACACCAAGGATTCAAACTTAAGTTAGTAGAAACTGAATTTCTTCATCATTGACTTTAGTGGTGACTGAGTCAATCTAAACAATTGTGGTATTAACTGGTCTCCATTGTTGTTGTTGACAAGTGCCACAGAGTCGGTTCTGACTCTTAGTGACCCTGTATACAGGGTTTCCGAGGACCAGCTGGTGAATTTGAAGCACTGATCTTGTGGTTCAAACCGACTTTGTGTCAGGTGCTTACCCTATAGTGCCACACCAGGGCTATGTATATGATTCTATCACGGACGGCACTGTACTTCAAAACAGATCTAGAAATGTTCTTTTTGACAATGAATGGGATGGGATGCCATTCCTCTTGAATTCATTGTTCCTGACATAGGAAACCATCGGCTGTTTGATTCAGAATGGCCAACACCAGTGCATTTCAGCTCAAGAATGGCTAGGATACCCACCTTCATGCTTTCCACTCCATTTTTTACGAATTCTAATTTTCCTAGATTCAAACGTTGCAATCCCATGTTCCCATTATTAATCAATGTTTGCAGCTGTTTTTTTTTCTCATATTGAGTTGCACTCCATTGGCAAATGAAGGACCTAAAAGCTCTGCTCCATCTACGCCATTATGGTCAACTCTCCTTTGAGGAGGCAGTTTTTCCTCAGTTGTATTTTGAACGCTTTCAAATCTGAGGGGCTCATCTACCTTTTGGCACTAGATCAGACACTGTTCTGGTACTATGCATAAGGTTTTCAGTGGCTCCATAAGATAAGCACTGGACTGCAAACCACAAAGTTCGTGGTTCAAGTCCACCAGCTGCTCAGCAGGAGAAAGATGAGGCTTTCTGCTCCCGCAAAGGTTTACAGCCTCGGAAACCCTATCCAGGGTTGCTATGAGCCAGAAATAACCTGGTGGACTCAACAACCGTTCAGAAGTGGTCCTTCTTCCTAGCGTGTCAGCTCCACTGAAACTTGTTCACTATGAGTGACCCCGTGGGTATTTACACTGGGGACATAGTTTCCAGCATCACAGCAACATGCAAGCCCCCACAGGACGACCAAGTCACACGTGTGGGGGTGAGGGAGAAAACATGACAGGTGAGGGCAGGGGCTGTGGTGGGCCCTGGCTGACAGGGAGAGCAGTGGGAAATTGAGAGGCAGAGTGTGGGCCGTACACACACCATGTCCTCTCTGAGGGACAACCACTGGCTGGAGTTGACGGTCCTGCAGTGCTGGGTCAGTAATGACTGTCAGACCCAGCCAAGTCCTAGGACCCCTCAGTGTCTCAGAGCCTCCTGTGTGTCACTCTGGCTCCTACACAAAGATTTCTCCAGATCTTTATTTCATGGTAACCAGTGTTGCTCCCTGAGGAGGAGGACGAGGCCCTGGGCCCTGCATTCTCCAGTACAGACCCCAGTCCGAGAAGATGTGGGGACACTGCATGACCGGTATGGGTTAAAGGGGCAGGGAAGGCTGGCCTTGAAGCTCAAAACGGGGGGCATGAACAGGTGTCAGAGCTAACACATATAAACGGGGGGCATGATCAGGAGGCAGAACTAACACATATAAATGCATGACAAGAGGTCACAGCCGAGCAGGTGTGCTGACGGGGACACACACCTGCACTGGGGTCTGAGTGGACCTCCTGTCCATGGAAATGCAGTGGATATCATGCAGGGACACAGCAGCCCCCCCATGAGGCAACACTGGAGCCTGGGGGTAGTTGTGGTCCCACTGGGCAGCTCTCGGAGGTCAGGGCTCGTGGCCGCCAGGGTGCCCATAAGCCCGTTACCTGCATCTTGACAGCAATCACCACAGAGATGAGCTCCTTCTCCAGCTCCTTGAAAACCAGCAACTTCTTCAGGGTCAGGCTGCACAACCTGCAGGGGACACAAACTCACAGTGATGGGGCCTCACCCTCGTCCTCAGTGCCCTGTGAGAGTCCCTCACTGTGCTGCCAACTGGGCCTTGCCAACCATCCCCGGCCGGCTGAAAGCTAGCAGCCTGTTTGTCAGGTGACCCTCCTAAAGGTCTCAGGGCAGGGTGCCCCCCAATCTGGAAGTGGCTGAGCATAGGCTGTGAACAGGAAGATGTGGGGATGGAAGGATGGGCAGATTTGGGAAGTCTGAGAGGCAGGAGTCTGGGGGGAGCAGAAGAGACTGGGAGTTGGTGTCTACAGAAATGCTCTCAGAGACGGAGTGCCGGCTTACCCCTATTTCCCTTCCCCCATGGGAGAGCCTGTCATAGTGCTGACAGTCCCTCCCAGCCCTGTCCCCCCAATGTCCCCTCCCAGAGCCCTGTGGCGGCAATGTCTCTGCGAGCCGTCTGCTCCTGGCACAGCCACCCCGAGTCCTGGGACAGTCGGCTCCACCCACCGGGTCCACTGAGCAAGTGAAGGACAAGGGAAACAGCAGAGAAGGGGACAGGCTTCAAGGAGCCTTAATATTCACCACACCCTCACCATAAAACAAACCAGAGACGAGGAGACAAGGAAGAAGGCACGTTCTCTGACAACCACTGAGTCCAACCCACGGCCAACAGCAGAAAGGTCCATCGGTGGGGGAATCAGACAACATGCTTCAAATTCACGCCAGAAATGAAAAAACACCGTGCATGGACTGCAACTGGCAATACAACAGATCGAGAACACGTCTGCCATTTCAGCATACAGCTCAGTGACACTAATACAGGGATGAGGTAGATCAGCCATCACCACGGCAACGTGCCAGACCCTGCGAGATGCGGCTAAAGCTGGGCTGAGAGGGAGATTTATAGCAATAAGTCAGAGAAGGGATAAGGTTTCCAACAAGCAAGAGGAACAAGCCGGGCTCCGGGGAAGGTCCACAGCCCACCCTTCTACAAGTGCAGAAGGCAGCAGTCACTGATGACCGTTTTACTGAGAATTAGGTGAAGGCATACAGAGCACATACGTTTTCCACTCAACAATTCATACGCTTTCTGTTTGGTCTCATTGATCCCAATTCACACCATGTAACCCACTCACTCACCCTTCTCCCCGTTTCCTGTTTCCACTGGTCACTTGGACTCCTGGGGTACCCTCTGTCCTTTCCTCCTAGAGGAGCCAGGACTGTATCAGGGTCCTCACACTCCACACCCCCAAGCACCCCTAACAGTGACATCATGTTGATGGTGGCCCCCCAAGTCCTGTCTCCAGCAGGCGACCTCTGGCTCCTGGACTGTGGGCAGCAGTGCTGACCATCACTTCCTGGCCCTCTATACGAATGGGCACACTCCCCTTGCTCTGTCCCTCCCTTCATACAGGGCAAGCTCTAAGCAGCCAGCTCGGGCCCAGACGTGGGGAGCCATGTGGCAGAGCCACTGTACTGATATACAAGGTTGTCAATGTCTCCCCAGATACCTCTCCTCCGGCCACGTGTATCCACTGAGCCCTACATTACAGGCATGTTGTGTTTTACATGGGTGCATATACAACACACAGTGGTGCTGGTTCCTGAATCACATTCTGATGTTGCCCTGTGCATTGTTGTTAAGTGTCATTGAGTCAATTACGACCCATAGCGACCCTGTATAGGGTTTCCAAGGAGCAGCTGGTGAGCTTGAACCACTGACCTTGCAGTTCAAATGACTTGCCCTGTGCGTAGGCCATTGCAAATTTCCCCTTTCTTCCAACATATAATGTGGGGAGCTGAGCACTCAGGTGTCCATCCCCTCCTGGTGGACATCCAAACTGCCACAACACTATGTCTACGCACAGAGTGTCTGGGGCATCAGCACTCAGAACCTGTCCAGGGGATGTGGTCAAGCTAGCCTCCCAGACTGGAGGCCCAATGCCCACTCCTATTGGCGGGAAATCTCTGGGTAATCCTTGGATGCTAAGGTTGGAGGTTTGAGTCTATGCAGAGATACCTCAGTAGAAAAGTCTGGCAATGTGTTTTCTAAAAACCAGCCACTGAAGATGCTACAGAATATCAGTCTCTCTTTCTGGAGGCTAGGTGAACTCCTAAAGAGATAATCTTTAAATCTTAAACCAAAAATATCCCAAAGTCTTCTTGAAACCAAACAACAAACTACTTAGTCAAGAACATCTGCCGTCCCACAGATGTTGAGACCAGGACCTTCGTCCGAGCCAAGGGAGCCAGCCTGCTCCTAGAGCTGGTGCTCTGAGTTCAGACGTCTGGTCTCCAAAACTGTAAGGGAATACATTTGTTTATTAAAGTCAAAACAAAAGAACCTCTGCCTTGAGCATTTGCAAATCCCCTACCTATCCCAGAGGTAAAGCCGGGTCTTAGAAAGTACTTCTGCCCTTTTACACCTTGTACGGTTCCCTCTGTTAGGAGTCTAGTCAGGGTTTTCACACCAGGCTTTCAAGACCACACTACACTCCTCTCTAGGTGCTGCCTTTACAAACTGGGTAACCCTTCTTACTCTCTGGCACACTTCATAGAACTGGGTTTGTTTTCTGAGGATTTGCTAAACCTTCCTCAATAAAAACCACCTGGTGCCTTTGGGGGAAGAGTGTTTCTTTGTTTTAGTAGAAAGGAGACTTTACTGATCCCACTGGTCTAGTGTATAGTTGGTCTCTTCAGCTGTTCTATTTTACTAAGGCAACTGCTAAGTAATTCAGTTGGAAAGTTGAGAATGGGTATTCCCGAACATCTAATTGTGCTCATGAGGAAGCTGTACATAGACCAAGAGGCAGTTGTCAGAACAAGGGAACACCAAATCGTTTAAAATCAGGAAAGGTGTGTGCCAGGTTGTAGCCTTTCACCATACTTATTCAATCTGTATGCTGAGCAAATAATCCAAAAAACTGGATTATATGAAGAACATGGCATTGGAATTGTAGGAAGACTCATTAACAATCTGCCATATGCAGATGATATAACCGTGTTTTGGAGAAGCAAAGGGGACTTAAAATACTTACTAATGAAGATCAAAGACTACAGCCTTTAGTATGGGCTGCACCTCAACTCAACATAAACAAAAATCTTCACACCTGAACAAATAAACAACATCATGTTAAATGACAAAAAGACCAAAGCTGTCAAAAACTTCATTTGCTTGGATCCACACTTATGCAAGCAGCAGTCAAGAAATCAAATAACAGATTGCATTAGGCAAATCCGCTGCAAAGACCTCTTTAAAGTGTGCAAAAGCAAAGATTTCAGTTGGAGGACTAAGGTGCACCTGACCCAAGCCATGGTGTTTTCAATCGCCTCATATGCATGTGAAAATTGAACAATGCATAAGGAAGAGTTGATGCATTTGAGTTATGGTGTTGAAGGAGAATACTGAAAGTACCAGACTGTCAGAAGACCAAACAAATCTGTGCTGGAAGAAGTACAGCCAGAATGGTCTTTAGAAGCCGGGATGAAGAGACTTCATCTCTCACACTGTGGACATAGCATCAGGAGGGACCAGTCCCTGGAGAAGGCATCGTGCTTGGTCACATGGAGGGTCAGTAAACAAGAGACTGAGAGCAGCGGGCTCAACCCTAACAAGTGTGAGGCCAGCGCAGGCCGGGGGGCAGGGTTTCGTTCTGTTGTGTGTGCGGTTGTTGTGATTTGGAATCAAACTGACGGACCTATAACACCACCACCAACTAACTTGAGTCGGATGCCTCAATGATCAGATAATAAATCTTTGTTTTCTAATAACTGAAAGGAGAAATCTCAGAACTCCAAATCTAACCCTAAACGTGATGCAACTTGGGATTTTTATTCCGTGGGGCTCTTCATCTTCCTACGGTTGTCTGCCTCCCCCAGGGGCACCAGCACACCCTCCCATCTGCATCTCCCCTGGCTTGTTTCTCTTCCCTTGGTCCACCTAACTTACCAAAGCAAACTGACGCTGAGTCCACTCCAAGTCATGCCAACCCTACAGGGCAGAATCCAACTGTCCCCTTAGGTGCCCATGACTGGACCCAGAGTGGCTACTGGGCTGAACTGCTGACCTTGTAATTAGCAGCCCGATGCTTCACCCTCAGCACCACCACGGCTCCTCTGAGTCCTGGCACTGTGGGAGAAAACACCGGACCACAAGTTTGGTGTGAACCACAGGGTGGGCGGTTCAAATTGACCAACCACTCCTCAGCAAGCCTATGTGGGGGTCGCTGAGTCGGAACCAGCTCAATGGCACTTAACTACAGCCTTTTTTTTTTTTTCCCCCATGAGGCGTTTATTGGACACACCAGAGGCGGGGGCAGGGGCTGTGCCTAGAAGGTGTTGGGCCGTTTGGCAGTGAAGTGAGGCTTGTACTGGCGATGCAGGACCCGGTGGAGCAGTGGGAACTTGATCTTGGAGTCGTGGAACTGCTTGACCGCAGGCCGCAATCTCCTTCACTTTCATGATCTGGATAGAATACAATGGGCGCAGGCGCGGTGCCGAGCGCCCATGTCTCAGTAGCACTGGGTGAGCGCACCAGCAGTGGTCAGGTCCTGGTACTCCTGGGACATGTTGTGAGTCCCACTTTTGGGAGTCGTGGCGTAGCCAAATGCTGAAGTTCTTCACCTGCAGTGGGGCCTTCTGGAACACCTGTCCACGGTACACTATCTTCCCGGAAAACTTCTTCATTTTCTTCAGCTGTGACATAGAGTACCAAAAGCGGGACTCGGCAATGATGTGGTTAGGAGCGAAGAGACACATCAGGTAAAGGGGTGGTAGGCAGCGCCCCGTGACCTTGTACTCGCAAAGTGTGCCCGAGGCCTTCCTGGTGATAGCTCCGCGACTGCAGCGACCCCACAAAAGGAAGCAACAAGTGTCTTCTTCAGGTTTGTGCTGCCCAAACAAGTGTGACCCAGGTACCAACAGAATCGGCCCATTGGGTCTCTAACACTGACATCACTACCAGGACAGGGTCTCCTGTAGAGTGAGTGAGCATGTGCGCACTGTGCCCCCACGGCGGCCGTCTAACCTCAGGCCCACTAGCCGACTGGCTCTCAGAGACATCTGTGGGTCCCTTTGTTTGGTGACTCTGCTGTGACCTCGTCTGGGTGTTG